TCGGCACTGTTTCCGAGACAATCTCCTTCGAGTCCGACGAAAACGTGCTAAGCTTTTGTCCGTCGGATCACGAACATCACCAGGATGTAAGCTTGCTTCTTTTCTCGGTTGATGTTCGTCATACGACGGACAAAAGCTTATAATTTTTCATCGGAATTGAAGAAGATCACCTCCGAAACAGCGTCAGCATGAAGGTTCCAGTAAAACCGATCGACAGCTGATCAAGAGAATCGCCCCGACGTCTTCTGGTGGGATCGACTTTCACTCGAAATGGAAGCAAGCTCAACAATTGTGGAAAGCATCATATCTTTTATGCGGTCCTTTCATGTACAAGTGTCGACTGAATTCGGTATCCTTCTTTGATATTTGCCTAATTAGATGCTAACAGATTTGACTGCTGTGCTCATTATAGAAAAGAAATCATAGGAAAAGACATTATTGGGCTTACCGCTTGTGCATACCAAGTCCACGCAGAAACCATTACAGGAAGTTGAGAAAAAATTGGCATGGTTACACTCTTGTAGGCTTATTGGATTTGAAGTGTAGCATTGCATGTAGTCCAGAGCGATGTCGTAGTCCGGAAGACACGATTTGTAACGAAAATCCCAGACCGATTCACTTTTGGTTTGAGGAAAAAATAGAAAAAAGCATTTTGAAATAGTCCACATTTGATAAAGTCAATAGAACATCCTTCCTTTTATCCCATTTATGCTCGCATACAAAATAATGACTCTTTTTCAGAGGACTCTGTCAACAAGATTACAATTCCCCATCAACAGAGTTCGTCTCCCAATCTGCGGGAGGCCAGCGTTATCGTGTTTTCTTGTCAAAATACAGACAATCAGTCTTTACATCATCTTAAACTTATTGGGCTTAATTCATATTCAATAATTAAAGATAATTTTAGATCCGATCCCCTAGCCTCGTCGAATGGAATGCTGAATTTCGGTTTACCTATTCGGCAATCGCACCACCAAATGATGATACGGTTTTACACAAATGTTTTAGCTTCGTAACGATACTCACGACGCAGGCTCGAATCCCGCTGAGAGTTGCGAGGAGACCGGTTGAGGCGAAGTGGAAGTGGCTGTTCAATCAAGTGCCGACGGAATGAGAAAACCGTTGGAGAGTTGGTCAGGTGCCCTGTCAGTGTGGCAGGAAAAGGTCAATTCTGCTGATTTATGAGTCAACCAAAACGGCCTAGGGGAGTGAGAAGGTGTTCAAGACTTGCCGGAATTCGACGTCTAGTCACATGCAGAAAGAGGCTATTGCAAAGAGGTGACGGTTCATTAAGCAGTTTGGCGCCTCGTGTCCAGTTTGGTTTTATTTCTAAATTACTCCAAACGCATAGAAGCTCAGCAGTGCCTGAGAGCGAGTCCCGATGAGAACACTTCTCGGTGGAAGCCATCCAAAAAAGTGCCTTTAGCAGATGACCTATTTTTCGTCAACAAGTCGACACTCGTGCTGCTCAACCAATGTCAAGCGGACTTGGTGGTAGTCGAGCACGAGAGCCACCTGCACCTAAACAGTATTTAGTTATTATTTCATACATCGGTTTGTCGAGACTACTCATAGATCTGAGGGAAGAGCTGTAATCACCCTTCTTTCGACAGACTGATGAAGGAATGTTAGTTGCATTTTGCCACAATCTGATGAATAAGTCTCACGATTTCTTTGAATTTCACATTACCTTCCTTTGCGAAATTCACTGGAAACACAAAGCTTATGAGAATATAGTATTGATTTCGTAAATACCAGTAAATCAGTAGTATGAGATGTATTCACCCAATTTCGTTTAACGTCATGAAGGACTGGTAGAAGAAGAATTTTCCTACAATCATTTGAGACGAGCTGACGTTTCCATTCAATTTCACATTGCCTTGCTTTTCCAAAAGATGTTCTCCTCCTTAAACGAAATTGGTTGAATACATCTCAAATTGAGAATCTACTTTATTTTTCGAATTAAGCATTGTTTTCGTAACTATCAGTAAATCAGTAGTATGAGATGTATTCACCCAATTTCGTTTAACGTCATGAAGGACTGGTAGAAGAAGAATTTTCCTACAATCATTTGAGACGAGCTGACGTTTCCATTCAATTTCACAAATCCTTGCTTTTTTAAAAGGTACTCTTATCCAGCATGGATTGAAGTTTGGACTTGGCATGGATCTTATCAATAACCTCAGCGGGAGTCGAATCGCGACAGTGCAGGTTAGGAGCTTTACACACTGAACACTCGGCTACAATGACACGAGTGCAAGGCTATATGAAAATTCAATGTAAATATCAGCTTTACTCATATCATTGTGGAAAAATTCTTCTTTTACCAGTCCTTCATCACGTTAAAAGAAATTTGGTGAATACGTGTCATACTACTAATGAGAATATTTGAAGCGAAATCAAAACTTATGTCCACTTTATTCGAGATGAAAATAGCTTATGGGATGCAAGACTATGTAAAAATTCATTGAAAACCTCAGTTCAACTCATATCATTGTGGGAAAATTATTCTTTTACCACTCCTTCATCACGTTAAAAGAAATTGGGTGAATATGTCTCATACTACTACTGAGTAGATTTGAAAAGAGATCAAAACTTCAGTCCACTTTCGTTGAGATGAGACTAGCTTATGGGATGCAAGACTGTGTAAAAATTAATTGAAAACCTCAGCTCAACTTATATCATTGTGGGAAAATTCTTCTTTTACCAGTCCTTCATCACGTTAAAAGAAATTGGGTGAATATATCTCATACTACTAATAAGTATATTTGAAGTGAGATCAAAACTTTAGTCCACTTTAGTCGAGTTGAGAATAGCTTATGGGATGCAAGACTATTTGAAATTCAATGAAAATGTCAGCTCAATTCATATAATTGTGGGAAAATTCTTCTTCTCCCAGTCCTTCATCACCTTAAACGAAATTGGGTGAATTCATCTCATACTATTTATGATAATATTTAAGGCGCGATCAAAACTTCCGTACACTTTAGTCGCGATGAGAATAGCTTATGGGAGGCAAGACTATGCGAAATTTAATGGGAACGTAATTATGGGCCACTTCAGCTACCAGTCTCTGTATCACTTTCAGGTAAATAGGGTGAATAAACTTCATAGCTAGATGTGATTAATGGTCGGACAAGAGTGTAATAGCAAAAATGGTCAAAAAGGATTGAATAAGTTACTCCGGGAAGAGCATTTTGCAGGCGGCGGCAGCTGCTCTTTTGTCAAAGCTTCTGGAGCACACCTCGCCCCATCTTCCGTTTACGAAGGCCTGCAAATGGCCGGCCCTCGGAGAGACTGGATTGATCAGGCGGAGAGCAATTTTCGGAGCCGTGGCTGCATCGAACAAAGGAAAAGTTTATGTTGAAAAGACTGTATTACGTTTATTTTCTAAACTACCAAAAGATCTTAAACAAGAGCCGTATTCACGCAATGTCGCATGAAGTGATGAAGGACTGATAATTGGATTTGCTAGTCACTGAAATAAGTAGACCTTTCGACAACATTAAACTGCATGCAGCTTTAGACTTGGATAAGAAGATCAAAATGTTGTGACCTTCACTTTGTTCACAGTCTCCTTTCGATGTTTACAAATGATCTGACCTCGTTTTCGCAAATTGTCCGACTTCGTTGGACGC